CTCCCAAGCAGGCACATTGTCTTAAGTTCAAATGTTGAGATTAAATTTATTACTTTATGCTTTATTCAATGCCACACTAACTTAGTCTTGTTGTAATTTCATGACCATAGATGTGTACCCTCAGTTGCGTTCTAACCTTATTTTGTGGGATTGAAAAAGAAAACTCAGTTGCAAAGGAGTTTAATTTTTTAGTAAAAAAATAATAACGAAATTATAATGCAAAATTTAAAAAGAGGTAATTTTATTAATTATTTCTAACCAAATTCCAAATTACCTTCAAAACCAAACCTACCTCATATAAAACTTCAAGTCGTTAAAGCTTAAAAAGTCTAATAGTTTAAAATACTTAATTTTTCACACAACATAAACGTCATATCAAAAATTTGTAACATATTGATTTTTTGGGTTCTATATATTTTTATTATGTCATAAAAACTTTTAAATTCCCAAAATTAATTTTTATTGTATAATTAGTTTATAAAATTTCTTAGACTAAGATGGTAGATGTTTTTATAATGTAACAAAATTAAGTAAGACACTCTTATATTTATAGAGAAAAATTAAAATTAAATTTGTAAAAATGTAAATTTGAGGAGCAAGAGAGTCACAATACCCTATTAAAATTAATTTTAAATTAAAAAATAAAAATACTTGTAAGGACAAAATAAAAAAATTAAAACTCACTACTTTTAACCCAAAAAAAAAGTTACATCACGAAATACACACATTCAAATTATTCACATAAAATATAAAAATCTTTATAAAAGAAACCCTTCAGAAAGTGTTCCAACTTCCAATTGCGTTTTAAGAAATTGCAAAGGGTTTCAAACTCTGTGAAGGAAAAGTTCGATTTTGCCTTTTAAAATACCGTAGGTTTTGCGCAATAGCTCGCTGAAATTATCCCGAGTACTTTGGCTAGGGCTAAAATATTTTGTTCTCTGTTTCTCTCCCGACTCCGTCCGTGCGTGGGAGTCTGTGATTAAGGACGGCGAGCCGACGATACGACCGTGCGAGTTCCGGCACTCAAACTGCTACGCCAGCGTCATCTACCACTGCCGGCCGCCGCTTTAAGCGGCATCTCTTCGCCCCTCCACCGCCTGTGCTTAGAGTTCGAGCAGTGAGCACTACCTCTTCGCTTCACCGCCCCCGTCTCTTCGCTCAATCATCCTTGCGAGCCTGTGACGCTGCCTCTTCACTCTAACCGACCAAGGTAGTGAGTAAGATCCGCCCTCTGTACTTCCACTGTGACCGAGTTGCGGAGTTTTCAAGCTAGGGCTAGGTTTTGAAAACACAGCAAATGTCATATGCATTATCTCTAATCATATATGATGCTACCGTATTCCCCGCAATGTATCTTCTATTTGCTTGTATTCTATATGTTGTAATCGTCATTTATTATTGTTAAATGCATTCCAGTATTTAAGGGCGTATATTGCTTAAATTTGTTTTTCAAGGATGATGGTGGACATAATTCTAGTTCAGGTATATGCATGTTTGTGAACTCTTCCTCGTTTTTTCGGTTTGCTGCCTTCCTGGTATGTTGTTCCTTTGGTGCTTGTGTTTGAGATTACGTGTTGAGTGCCACTATGAAATGTTGATTATGGTGTGATTTGAGAGGTTTGGGGATTGCATCGTCTAACTATAACGGAATAGGTCTGGAATTGAATAGAAATTTTGTGAACATTTTTATTTCCTCACGCTGAATCTAAGTGTTCTAAACCTCAATTTCTTGTTGTATAATGCTAGGCATAGTCTCACGGGACTTAATATTAGTGTACTGTCACATGACGTTTATGACTTTTAGTTGTCTGATAAAATTGCCAATGAGAATATCCCAACGCTTTTAGGTCAATGTGATTGATTTATCACTGCTTCTATCATCCCTCTCTACCTAGGAAACCCCCCTTCCTCTTCTCTGTCTCAGACCTACCAACTAGTCAAGAACTTGCATAATTTACTTCAAGAGCATGCATGTTATAGTTCAGGTAAATTTTGTAGATTTTTAGTCAGTGCTTCAACTTCATATTTAATTATCAAAATGTTGTTTATATCTTAAGTGGAGCATAATCTTTGTCCAAGCCCTAGACTATAAATTCAGTCTGCCAGCAAAACTTGTTCTATCTGTCTTAATTTATTACAGTGCAGCATTATTGCCTTGCTGGCGTTAGTTAGCTTATTGTCTCTGTAACACTCGTGGAGATAAAGATTACCATACAATTGCTCTGAGTTTCTAATTTTTATTAAAAGAAAACAACAATGTTTTATCACTATTTTTTCAGAAAATCAGCTGTCATGGTGGTGTCTGATTTTCCGCTTTTATAACTTTCCCCCTGTTCTTTATTGTTAGCAGTATTTTTTATTTTTTAGGCCAGTGATGTTTAATCAAAAAGCTGGATACTATCTTTATATATTTAATTATTATTGCCATTTTTGTCGATCAATATGGAGAAGTTGCTTCAAAAGTTAAAATGTGGAACTAGGACATGCTTTATTTATGGGCTTAGTTGTTTAGTGTCAAGGCCTGATTCCCTTATATGCCTTTAACTCGGAATTATCATTTGATCTGGCATGATTACATGAATGTTCAGGAAATGAAATGAATATTTTTAATTAGTCTGCCGCTTGTGCCTACTCTTTGGTGGATTTGAACTTTTTTTTTTTTAGGGTCTTTTGGCTATTAAATCTATGAAATGGTAGGAGTCAACAATTTTCAAGGACTGCTGGAGGATTTTCTAGATTATGGAAAGTCTGTTTTAGGATAGATTCGGACTCCTTTTTAAGCATTTTACCTGAAAGTTGGGAGAAAATGCAATCTTTTATTTAAAAAAAATCTCAAGTATGTAGCTCTAGAGGCTTTGCTATATGTTGTTCGTGATGCATTTTTCACAAATTCTCATGTTAAGATATGTTTAGTCTTTACAGATGTTGATTAAGATTAATAGACTCATTCAAGGACATATTATTTACTTACCATGGCAGAGTCTGTGCACCATTCTAAATGCTATTCAAAAACATGTTCAATATTATTTTTGTTTACATATATGCTGTTGACAAATGTATTCATGTTGATTTTTTTGTTATTTATTCTAAGTGCAATTAAGAAACATGTACATTTTTTTGTTTTTCATTTTTTTTAAAAAAAGTTTTTGTTTCTGTTTTTTGAAAAAATAAAAGAGAACAATGTTTTTAATCTTTTGTTAACATAAAGAAGCAAAACCCACAGCCATAGAGTTCTGTTTGGTCAGTGGTTGTTAACTATTTGTAGTAGCCTGGCTTTGTGTGTTCCAATTTGTGGCGGTTGAATGCAAACTCAGTCAAGCTCAAACGTATTCAGGCTGGTCAATAATCCCTCAGTCCATCTTCAACCCTGGTGCAACTTTGAGCAACTATTTTCAACCCTTTTGCCATCTCATCGTCATTCCCTTAGCTCTATATAGATGGATATGTGTGTGCCGCCTATGCATGCTATATTTACTTCTCTCTTTTTTGATTCTGCAATTTTCATAGTTCTGGTAAGACTCAGACGCCCATAAACCTTCATCATATCTTTCTATGTGCCTTACTCATGTTCTTTAATTTTTAAAATTGCCCACCAACTGATTGATGATGCTTTAGAAGAAGGCTATACACAGAATTTGTCCACCATATGCAAACTAAATGAGAATGACATTTTCATATGCAAACTATTAACAAACATGTTCATTTTTTTTTAAACATATATGCTGTCAGCAAATGCGTCCATGTTGATGTGTCTTGTTATTAATTCCAAATGATATTAAGAAACATGTACACATTTTTTGTTTATCATTTATTTACAAAGCAGGTTTTTTGTTTTTATTTTTTTAAAAAAATGAAAGAGAACAATGTTTTCAATCTTTTGTTAACATAAAAAAGAAAAACACACAACCATAGAGTTTTGTTTTGGTCAGTGGTTATTAACTATTTGCTGGCTTTTTGCGTGCAAACTCAGTCAAGCTCAAACTCATTCAGGCTGGTCAATAATCTGTCAGTCCATCTTCGACTCTAGTGCCACCCTTTTTGATCCTTTACCTATCTCATGGTCATTCCCTTCTCCCTCTGTTTGGGGGGGGGGGGGGGGGGGGGGGGTCATGTTCTCTACTTTTTAAATTTGTCTACCAACTGATTGATGAATGCCTTGAAGAAGGCCATATACATAATTTGTCCACCATATGTAAAAGAGTTTTGCACCTTGAGCTACTTTCTCTGAACCCAAGTGAGTGTTAATTTGTGCTTTGTACATTTTCTAGTATCTTGTAGAACTGGAATTTGACTTGTGCTTTATTGATAAAAACAATTGTAAAGTCCAGGATTGGATGTTGTCATATTCAGTATCTTTAAGAAATATTGTAGTCAAAAAATTAATAGACAAATAAATAAAAAGATGTCAAGCTTTAGGATTAGAAGATACAGTGGACAATTGTGCATGTTCTTGTTTCTTATAGAACTGGAATTTTGACCTGGGTTTATTTTTGAAAACAATTGTAAAGTCCAGGATGGAATATTATGATGTTCAGTATCTTTAGAAATTGAAAGGAAAAAAAAAGGAAAAATCAGATGTCAAGCTTTTGGATTAGAAGAAACAGTTTTGCATAAAATAAACATATTTTTGGGTTTGCATATCAGGCGACACTTAGTCACCCCTGCTTGTTGAAATGATGAATGACTAGAAGTCATTGAAGTGCTTCTATTGTGTACATAAATAGTGCCAGGCTGCCAGCTTATGGAAGTTGGATCTAGACTGAGGAGTGCAATATTTTCAACCTCCTTTTTTGTGAAGCTTCTGTTTTCTATTTGTAAATTCTATCTGATATATGTCATTGGTCCATTAATTGCAGTTAATCAAGTCTTCTGTTATATCCCTGGAGTTGAATATTGTCTATGAACTGCTGTATTTAAGTAGTAAGGTATCTTAATGTGTCTGAAGTAGTTGCTTATAGATTTATGGAACTTGGCCTTATTCAGATAAGGGGGTAAACTGAATGGCAGATGGGGAGGAGGATTTGCCGAGGGATGCAAAGATTGTAAAAGCCCTGCTAAAATCTATGGGAGTGGAAGAATATGAACCTCGTGTTGTGCACCAGTTTCTGGAACTGTGGTATCGATACGTTGTTGATGTATTGACAGATGCACAAGTCTATTCAGAGCATGCTGGGAAGGCAGCAATTGACTGCGATGACGTCAAGCTTGCTATTCAGTCAAAAGTCAACTTTAGCTTCTCTCAACCCCCACCTAGGGAGGTAATGTTGCTGTTCCTTCATAGATTTTCAGTCCAAATAGTTTACTTTTTTCAACAGGATGTTGAATGCCATATTCCTTGTACACTTGTTACTGATAATGATAGTGATTGAATTGTTATCAAGTTTTCCACTGTAATTGTATTTTAGACATGAATCTTTTGGCTAGTAATTGATTTAAACTGTTTAGTTGTCTGTGTTTTTGGGCTTAAGACCAAACGCCACATCCTAGCCTTTGGATGTTGTAACTTCTAAGCTTCTAAGCCAGAAGGCCATAAATTGAGAAATTGAGGAAGTTTAGAGGAAATCAGAGAGCTTCATCCCATGATTTCTTGTTGAGAAAACTGGTTGTCAATTGACCTCATTTTCCTCTGTTTTTGTTCTTTTGTGGAATGTTACAAGTTGCCATGCTTTATATTACCATCATGTATCTTTGGCATCTTTGCAACTTAAATAATTTTGTAGTTCAGTTTGGTTAGTTAAATTATTCTAGAGTTGTTCTGCAAAGCAGTTGTATTTTAGACACGAGTTTTTAGCTTTTAATGGACTTGGGGTCTCTTCTCAGTGTTTGTTCTGTGCTTTTTGAAAACAGAAAACGGTGAAAATGTAATGCAATATTCATTTTCAAGTAACTGAGAATTTTCAAGGCAACTTCTTGTTATCTAAAAAAGGGGGGGGGGGGGGGGGCCTATTTTATTGAAATTCTTCTGAAAACAGTTTCCAAAAATAACCGCCAAACAGGGTTTCCAAAACAGAAAATTGTTCTCAAAAGCAAATCCAAACTTTGTGTTTATTTTTGTGGTATGGGCTTAGAGATGGATCTTTCTATGTTTATGTTTATGAATGATGCTCAGCATTTTTTTTAATCTGACAAAGTCAATGACCTATCTTGCACATGTCATATCAGGTGTTGCTTGAGTTGGCCAGAAACAGGAATAAAATCCCATTGCCAAAATCCATAACGGGGCCTGGAATTCCTCTTCCACCTGAGCAGGACACTTTGATTAGCCCAAATTATCAACTATTAATCCCAAAGAAGCAAACTAGCCAGGCAATGGAAGAAACGGAGGAGGATGAAGAGGCAGTTGATCCTAATCCCAATCCTTCCCAGGAGCAAACAGAGAAGCCACAGAATACTCCTCGACGAGTATCATTTCCACTTGGAGCTAAACGTCCGGGATGAGTGTTGATATTGTAATTTTTGATCATTTATGTATGTCACAAACCGGAGGAGTCTCGGTTCTACTGATTATAAACTTGTTATATGTTTGAAATGTTGCTTATTTGTGAATGGAAAAGAAGTTTGCCTCTAGTTTCTTCTAGTTTTGCTTCCATTTTTGGTTTCGGTTTGCAGAACAAGGTAGGGTAAGATAAAATTATTCTGTCTTATTTTACATTTAATACACAGGATGAATACTTGATTCGGATAAAGATAAGCAAACATTTTAGGAAGAAGCGGGATAATTTTATCATAGAGGTGAGGGGAGGTGGGATTATTTTGTTAGGATTTTATCAAAATATAACTAAACTTTTTATGGACAAAAATAATCTTTATAAACTTATAAGATGATTAGAATGTTCATGTTTTGGGATCATATACTCTTTTTATGGATAAAAATGTCTTTATTATAAAATTTATTTATTTTATTTCCGTACCGAATATAAGATAAAATTGTTTATTTTTGTTAATCTAAAATAAGTTGTATCTCATTTAATTCTTATCTCTTTCTCCTCAATCCACTTGAATGCACATTTTTTTGTTTATTTCAGTTAAGTTCACTCAATTCAACCGAACACGCTTTTTTTTTTTGGTTTATTTTAGTTAAGCTCACTCAATGCAATTGAATACGCCTTTTTTTGTTTATTTCAGTTAAGTTCAAATGAGAATGACAATGAATGATAGGAGTACTTTCAAATATAAGATTATGTAGAAAGAAATCTCGGGCTATTCATATCTCTAATAACGAGAGAGAGAGAAAGAGAGAGAGAGAATATTTTATATTTTGTATCATTAAAATAGAGTATTTTAGTACTTTACACTTTAAAATTTAAAATTTAGCACTTTACACCCTAAAAATAAGGATTTTTATCACTTTGCACCTCAAATGTTTAAATAAGGCCCCAAAATTATAAAAAAGTATACTATATCTTTAATTGCCCACCAAAAATTAAAGGTAAATTTAGAATTTCATGTAAATAAAAAATAAAAAAACTATAAAGAACTAAAATAGTCGTTTCAATTATTTTTTTATCAAAACTTTATTTTTAATTTTAAAATTTTGAACAATATCAAATTTTTTAATCTTTTATATGCCGTAAATATGTGTATAAATTAAGTTAAAATTTACTAAATAGAATGAAAATAACAAAAAAATGAAAAGTTCAAGTCTATTATAACATTTTTACTTTTCATTTATATGAATTCTAAATTTATCATTAATTTTAACGAGTAATAAAAAATAAGGTGTACTTTTTGTAATTTTGGGAGATTTTGGATTCTAATTTAAAATTTTAGGATATAAAGTACCAAAAATCTTTATTTGGATGCAAAGTATCAAATTTAAAATTTTAAAGGGTAAAGTGTTAAAAATTCTTATTTTTAAGGTACAAATATTAAATTTAAATTCTTAAATTTAAAATATTAAAATTCTCTATTTTAAGAATGGAAATTGCAAGTGAGTCCGAGGCAAAAGTATGGATAAACGTGAGGGTACGCATTCTGGCATACGGCAATTTATTTAAACTGTACTTTTTGGGCCTTATTCTTTTGCGTTCTTTTTTGTCTTGTTGGGTTTTGGGCGTGGCTGGAGGAGGAAGGGGGGATAAAGATTCTTTGAGCCCCGTCGTCCTGAAATGGAAGTGTTACTTAAAGTTTTTGTTTTTTTTTTAGGTGTTACTTAAAACTGCTAATTACAAAACTTTACATACAGGCTTTGAATAATTTAGCTGAAACTTTCGACCTGCGTAAACCCTACTCACCACCCCCAAAATAATAATAATAATAATAATAATAAAAGTAAATAAACACTTTTCTCTATTTAAATTTATTTAAATAACACTCATTCTTACTCTTATTATGAAAAAATATTTTTTCTTTTAATTAACTGTTAAATAATAATATTTTAATAATTTTATTAAAAAAATTATATAAAACCCCATTTTACCTGTTTTACTGTATTAAAAATTAAAATATTAATCATTTTACTTAAAAAATTTAAAATTTAAAATTAAAATTTTAAAAAATAAAAAATTTAACCTTTTAATAATATAAATTTACTATTTTAAAAATTTTTATTTTATGATATTTTAATTTTATTTAATTTTTTAAATTTAAATAATACTTAATCCTTTTTTAGTTTATATGACACTCAAATCATTTTTATTTTAATATTTCAAATAAAAATAAAAATGTAATAAAATAAAAATTATTTAATGATTAAAAATAATAAAATTAAATTATCTAAGCTAATTTTTTAAAATAATTAAAAATAAAAAATTCAAAAAATAAATCAAACAATATTTAATTTTAATCAAATCGGCAACTAAAATGTATAAAATTGAATTATTATCACAGCCTTTTTAATAGAACTGTTAAATAACCCTTAATTAACAGTTAGCCAAAAAAAAATATTATTTATAATAAAATTAATATTAAGTATCATTTAAACAAATATGGGAAAGAAAATTTTTTATCCAAATAATAATAATAAGGAACAGCATACCAACTCTCTGGTAAACTGAGCTGCGCGTGTCAATGTGACAAGTTCCTTAAAACATAAACAAAAATTCTTCAAAGAAGCAGCTAATAATTGGTGTCTATAGCCACACCATTCAACATTTTTCTGGCTCCCCGAACATCCCAGCTAATCCTTGTGCTTTTCTGACCATAATCACAAAGCTGTACTACAAATTATACATCATGTACATAAAACAATTAACATTTATCCACTTAACAGTTATACACTAGAAGGTGAGAAAACCATCTTGGCATCAACTTCTCCAACCAACCACCATATTAAGAGTCCGTCCAGAGCTCGATATTCCAAGTACTCTATCATACATGCGCTGGATCTCTTCTCTATACTCCGTCAAAGACTTGCCAGGTATGGCTGGAGTCAGCTCCACCATATCCCCCATCTTTAATTTGCACGTGGGATCACTCGCTGGCTCATGATTCAACCTTGGCCTCAATTCTTCCTTCACAGGAAATCCACAAGGAGTCCCTCTGAAGCTTCCTTGACCTACTATTTCCAGGACAGTTGAGTTTGCGGGAAACTCCTATACTGACATCTGCAACATGCAAACACTAAATCATATATCCCTGCTCAATTATAGCAGGCTTCTGCTTTATGATCAGACAGCACTGTCAGACTAAGAGTACAAAGAGAGATTGCTCAGCTGAAATGTTCGGAAAATGCCAACATCACAAAACCACGGCTTATCTATGTCAGTAACAGCACAGTGGAACTGAAATAATGCATTCAATTTTTGGCTTCCAGATCTCAGATATCATTTTTAGTGTTTTGAAAAACAGAAAACGCTGAAAATCTTAAAAAACAACAGTATTTCCATTTGAGAAAAAATAGTGTGTGAGAATTCTGAAAACAACTTTTTGTTGTTTCCTGAAAGTTCTCCTGAAAACAACTTCAAAAGCAACCTGCCAAACTGGATGTCAATTTCCAAAAACAGAAAACTTGTTTTAGAAACAATGCAAACGGGCAATCCCAGCAACAGTAGCATCACAGCAAAGTTTATAAATGGGTTAGCAAAATTGAAAAGATATTACAGATAGTTGAAAATTTTTTCTTCTCTTTTCTTTTTCTTTTTTTTTAATTGCAAAAGAAAATGATAACATCTATAACAATACAATTCAACATTTTCTTCTCATCATTATGAAGTTGTACTGTACAGATATTCATTGTATACATGAAACAATCAACAGGAACTCACTAAATCCATAAAACAAGGTCATCTGTAACCAGAGAGAGCCATGTGTCAACACCTAATAAATTCTCTAATATTCCCTTTCTTATTTATAGAATTTTAATTTGATCTTTTCCACTCATTTTTTGATTTTCTATTGAACTTATCTACAATAAATCTTTCACTTATTTTAAATGCCTTATCATGAACCTTAGAATTTCAATGCTTTCCCTTTGAATCTCAATGCTTTATTTAAAATAAAAAAAGAAGAAGAAGAAGAAGAAATTAATTGCATTACACCAAATGCAGCAAGAAAGAAAAACTCATCTTTTATTTTCCAGATATAAAAGAAAAAGTTCTATTTTTCTTTTTTTCTTATTTCTACAATGTATGTACAGAAGTTGGAGAGCCAACAATCCACAACTTACATTTATCCATGGTATTGATAACCTTGGTGAGTGTATGTCTTCTATTCCTTCAAACTTGAAATACATAGAACTAATGTAACTACAAGCCATAATCCTATGAAGTCTTATCAATCATTCAAATATATAATATTCTTGGTGCAATTTAGATGATTGGCACCCTTCACTAATCAAGTTCCCTCTCCTTGTTATTTTTCCTCCTAGACAATTTGTTAGATACAATCATCATATTTTATTTTCTTTTCTGAATAGGTATTTCTTCGGTGTCTTCAAAATTACAGAACAAAAAATTAACAACAAATCTTTCAGCTAGTTCTCCCTCTTGATGGCTAACCTGCAAAGTTATTCATGGCGCATAGCACACCATTGTACAAAGGTTCCATAGCAACATAGCGCATTGCAAAAATTAACATATTGTAATTTAGAAATTTCCAAGTAAAATAACTAAAAATGATCTAATTATTAAACAATGAGATTCTCTAATATGGAAGATTATAATACTAGTAAGAGTTGTAAAATCTTATAGATAAAAAAAGAAAATATTTATAATATTTAAAAATATTTATAAGTTAATATTTAGAATTTTTTCCATTAACCTGAAGCCAAAACCATGAATCCGAATCACGACCAAAGTGGAACTAGGAAACGGCACAGAACTATGAAGGCCCAGAACTAGAACCAGAACCAGAACCAGAACCGGACTGACCTTCACCAGTTCATAATTTTTAAGGATCGAAATTGAGTCTGAGCTAGTTCATAAGCTGTGAACATGACTAGTATGAAATCCTCCGAGGACACCCTAGACTAAGATGATAAGACGAGTCCTAAACTTAGGTTAGGAGTTATGATTATGGTTAGAAATGAGACTCATTAATTTCCTGTTGCATTCCAATCCCAACAGGATTTTCCTACATTTTCTTTTATTAATGTTATTATGTTTTTTTATATTAACTTTATAAACTATTATTGATTTCTTTCTAAGATTTTTAAGAATAAAAAAAGATCTTTAAGATATTATCCTTTTTAACATTGTTCTCACTTTTTTTGTTTTATTTTTCTTGTAAATATGAAAAAATTTAAAGGAAAATTACCAAACTCACACATTATATAATAACAACATATAGCAACAATATACAAGAAAAATAGTCTCAATTAACATTAAAAACTTAACTAGTACTCCAAATACAAACAATCCAATAATCACCTCGACATGTCAAACATGAAATGGCACATCAAATGTAATCTAAAACATAAAAATATGATCAAACAAAGTCTAGGACATAAAAGAGATTATCTAAAACTCATCCTTTTCCTCTTACTAGTGGTCATTTTAGATTATAATGCAATGCTGAAACAGAGATGATGTCACGACCCGGTTGTCGAGTTCATGACCGGCGCTAGAGTTAGGATAAACCCAACCCCGCAAGCCTCAAATGATCAGATTTGTTAACAGGATGAAATAAAAACTTAACTTAATACAGAATTCAAAGTCTAATACAAAACTGTCGAAAATACAATACACTTATTGAAAACCCTGTCTGTGATCACTAATCTAACAAAATACACACCAAAAAGAAAAGTAAAGACTAACTGTGACCCTCAGAGGTCAGATCAACTGGAAACACGGAATCGGAATCAAAATCGTTGAACCAATATCACGTAGCAGGATCAGTCGGCCCCACAAAACCTGAGTCTGAAAAATAAAGGATGAGTCTATTGACCCAGTGAATAATAGTACATATTTATATGACGAGCGACATATATCACGTATTTTAGCATAAAAATACAGTTTTCACAATTTTACAAGTCAGGGAGTTCGACACCAAGAACTGAACAGAAACAGGACGGCAACTCATGGTATGCCGATATACAGATATCAGGACGGCGACTCAAAGTCTGCCGGTAATCAATAAACAGGCCTACCACATCAGCCACACGTGATAATTTAGCACCACCCCTGCTAGCTGGGGATACAGGTCAGGATGCATCCAGTCTAACGCTACTGCCGTTAGCTACAGTGTTCTAACAGTACGATACTCCCTTAAAATTATTTATCAGAGTTTATCAGAGAAAGTTTCAAATTTTCAAAGTCTTAAACATGTACCAGTACTTGAAATCAGAATTTCAGAAGTTTTTCTAACAATTTAGAAAATGACATATACGTCCCTCGTAACTTTTCTAACAATTTAAGTTCCACTGGATAATAACAGAAATAATTTTCAAATTATGTAAAAGCAGGAAATTTAAATAAGTAAAACAACATTTTAAACATATAAATATATAATATTACTCACAGAAACCGAGAATCACGCAAATCGAGCTTCGGCAGTGCGGCTCCTCGAAACTCGACCACTTAATCTAAAATAATCAAAATGTTTATTTTAGAACATAATATTTCTCAAAATTAAATATAAACTAATTTATTCTTAAAAATTCAACCCTCTCTTTAATTTTTATGTTTTAAGCTATTTCGGGAATCTTAAAGTCCCGAACCGATCAAAATCCTACTAAACCGGATCTTCTACACATTGAACCAAGCACAATATTTAATGAACCAGTAAGAAAACCCATAGAACCGGGAGTGAAACCCATTAAACCGGTCTCAAAACCAATGAACCGGCCTTAATTCCCTTAATTTTGCCATAAAACCCCTTGAACCAGTTTTAAACCAATTGAACCGGTCTTAAAATGTATAGAACCAACCACAAAAGTCAATGAACCAGACTTAAAACTACTGAACCGGGCATTATTTACACTGAACCGGCTTTAATAAGGTTGAACCGGTGGCTTTTTTTTAATTTTTTCTTATTTTCTTTAACCTTAGACCGGCCGGTTCACCAATGAACCGGCTGGTTTAGCCTTGAACCAGCCACACATCTTGTAAATAATTTAATGTACGTCATGTTGGCACCTTGAACCGGCCAAGAACCGGTCCGGAAGTCATTGAACCGGCCGGTTCTTTATTTCTGTTCTGTTTTCTGTTTTCTGTTTTCTTCTCTTTTTTTTTTTTTTTCTGTTGGGCTGGGCTGGCCTGCCCAAGTTCTTTATTTTCTATCTGGGCCAGAGCCCCATTCTAGATGGGCCAACTGCAACCCAGTAACAAATCTAAAACCCAAAATTCACTTGGGTTGGCCCAACAAAATGCTAAACCCAGCCCACTCCAGGAAACCGGGCCAACCCGAAACCCAAACATTTTCCTTCTTCTTTTACCCGGTGATTTGCAGAACCGCAAAAAAAATCAGAAACAGAAAATTACCTTGATTTCATTGAATTTCTGGCGATTTGATTCTTCGTTGTTGCTCGAAATAACCAAACGGAGCCCACCAATGCTTTTGCTTGACTGCTAATTGGATTGATTTACTGAATTAAGATTGGGAAATCCCAATTAGCTGACGGGCACATGAATCAGAAATCTGTAAAATTGCTTGATATAGAAGCTTGATTTGATCCAATCAATTGAGGGATTATGTTCCTGAACTTCTGTCGCATAGCATTATAAAAAGAAACTAAATCCAAAACGTTCAACTTGTTGTTAATGATTTGTTTACTCCTGTATTCGGACGGTTTCATCAGTTACAGATTTCTTTTTCTTCTGATTTTCCATTTGAGTCCCTGGACTCTAATTGCCAATAAATTTGGTCCCTTGCAACTTCACTATTCTATGTTCAAACCCCTGGAATTTCCATTTATTTTAATTACACCCCAATGTTCCTAATTCTTTTGCTTGCACCCTTAATTTTCAATTTATTATTATTATTTTTTTTTTCAATATTCGGGGTTTTTACAGATGATTCTAATTACATATAACCTCTCTTATGTTTTATATAAGGTAGAGCTGTAGTATGTTAAATAAAACACATGTAACCAACAATAAATAAATAAACAAATAAAACATGTAAATAGCCAATGGAGAGGCTTGCTTAGTTGGGCTCAAAGGAGAGCTCTCTTTGAGTCTGGACAGCCGAGAGTCTCGATTGAGACAGAGGATAGGAGAAGCTCTCTAGACAGTTGACACACTCTTGATCACGGCAGCGAGCAGAGGAAAGGGCAAGCTCTAAGCAGCCGAGATCACAACAGAGAGTGTAGAGATTCTAGGGCTAGAAGGGGTCTTGCGAGGTTCAAGAGATAGGGAAAGGCTCAATCATGAGGCTCAATAGAGAGGGGAGAGCTCAATCACATTTGTCTGATGGTGTCTAGAGCTCCATTGCAAGGCTCGACAGAGATGACAGAAGGCTCAACAAGGTTGAGAGAGATCAATAGGGATAGAAAGGGCTCAACCACGAGTCACAAGCTGCATTTAGGGCTGGATGGACAAGTTGCGAGACTAGATGGAGTTGTGAGGACCAATCTAGTCGCTATATGTGATTTTAAGCTCATTACATCTTAGCGCATGTAGCGCCACCATAGCCAAGCAGACAATAGCACATATAGTGCATGCTGTGGCTCGCTATAAAGATGTCACAAGGTTATGGCAGCTTTGTAGTGCAGCATGCTATAGCGACACGCTATGCACAATAGTGATTGCTATAGCGTGCTATTAACAACTATGCTAACCTGTCCCTTTTTTCCTACATTCTCTGCATATCACCATTTAATAAGTGGTCTGTCATATAATTTATTAATTAGCAATGAAACCATTTGTCCATTTTTCTCACCTGCATGCATTTCTTTCTCTCACATACACATTACTTTGACCTACATAAAAAATTAATTGCATTAAGAACTGAACCCACTACCCAGTGATAACTAGAATGTATGCATTCTGTAAAGGACCAGAACAAGTTGGACTAGGGTAGAGAAGAAGATCCCAAGAAAACAAACCTTGTCATTTTCCATGATGATGATGAAAAACAGGTCCATCAGGGCCACAACTAGGTTTGTAGGATTATGGGCAACCTTCAGAATGAAAAGGGAATTTGCATGGCGGTCTAGAGTCTGCATTGCAGATAGTTGACCTGTTGTTGCTCATTGCCTTGCACTGCCAGATGAGTACCCAACAAGCCCACTCAACCATTTGAATCACATAGGAAGAATGTTTATAATCGCCTTCCTTGTATCTCCAATGAGCTGCAAATCCAAACTCTGCTTGTAAATGCATCTCTTCTGTTCGAATCTGAACTTCAAGTGGAACCATGTCCCCACCCATCACTACAGTATGCAGAGATTGGTACCTGCAATGTTAAGATCCAATTTAGCAAAGGCATACCTATGACATAATTTTTTCTAGCAACTTCAGACGAAGACAAAACACCCATTAATTTTGGGATGATTTGTATAGTACTTCAGCTTTCCAGGCACTTCAGACCACAACTGATGAACAACTCTCAGTGCCTCATAACAAGCTTCTTCTTTTTCAACAATCTATCAAAGCCCATGAATATCATGGATTTCATAGTCAGCTTTTTTCTGCGCAAGATTAAACACTAAGACAATGCCACAACATTCTTAAATTTTATCACCACATCCACACAACCCCAATGAGATAATAACACCTCATAAGTACTTCCAAACAGCTCTAATTCATAAATATACTAGGAACAAGGTGTTTATACCCTAAAAATATTTGAACTTCTTTAACTTAAACCAAACACATAAGCCCTTTTGGTCCCAAAAATCATACATGGTGCCAAAAAACTAAACAATCCATCACGAAGCAAGATCAAACAAGTGGAACAGCCAGAGAAATAACAGCAAGTGCTAGTGTTGCTTTATTGAGTTAGTAAAGATCCCCAGTAGATGTGTTTCAGCATCCTAATTTGCTCGTATGCATTGACACTTACACATGCAACCTTATGTGTTCAAGCTACATATCTGTACACACTCACAGAGACAGACAGAGAGAGGAAAATATAGGGAGAAGGGAGCGTACTTCAGCATTTTGGAGTAGATGCTATACAAGCTCTTGTGCCTCCCAGCGAGAATATGGTAAGGAATACCTGTATCATCAAGCGCATGCTCTAATTTTTCTACTGCTGTAGTAATAGCAACCTCATCAAAGGACTTGATCACTTTGGTGGAGAGTTCCTTGTGCTCTTCTGGGTGGAGATGCTTGAAAGACAGGTTTTCTAGTTTCTCTTTCCAACTGAATATCCCTAACCGATTGGCCAGAGGAGTAAAGATTTCCTATGTTTCCTTCACAAATCTTTGTTGGTTGGCCAATGGTAATGCATCTGGTGTCATCATATTATGTAAGCGATCTGCCAGCTTTATGAGGGCAACCCTGGCATCTGTCATTGCAAGAATCATGGTGTGCAGTCGATCTGCCTCTACAGAATTACTTGCTGTGTTATTCTCACGTGCATGCTTACTTAGTTGACTTAGCTTAGATACCTAAAAGAACACCATAAATTAAATATCAGAAGCTTCTGATAGCAATTTGTCACCAGAGATGTTCACTGCATAGAAAGATAGAAAAACATGCCACAAAAATGAAGTAAGAATCTAGCATTTTCCTTTATTAATAGATAATTTCTTTTCACAATCTCATCATACAGCACCCAGTTGCAAAACAATGATGTTGAAATGATTGAAAATAGCAGCCTAATAATGCTACAATTAGATGCTCATAAAGCAGATCTGAAAGACTGATTAAAAATGAACTCTCAGAAACCAGTGTCACATATCGTAGTTTACTTGGAATGACAATTGCTTCGGCACTTAAAATGGGAAAGAAAACGTGGTTTTCCCTGCACTTAAAATTGTGGTACAGTAGACTAGTCTTCTATAAACTAACATATTAGGATAAATGTATCTTTTCAGAGCAATATTCTATAAGAAATCAGTATCTAATAAAATAAATATTTTTTCAACAAATAGTCAAGAAGGATTTAAATTGTTATAGTTTTAACTGATAATGTGGCCCATGATCAAATAGATTGGAATAATGGGATTTCAGTAGCCGGCCCAATGTAGTTGGGATAAGGCTTGGTTGATTGATTGATTGATTATCCTAGATTGTCAAAACACAATGCTATGGTGTTAAGAGTCTTAAGGTCTAATTTATATATTTCAACCTATCCAAAACTTTAATTTCCTTATGTTTTAGTTCATGATTCATCAGTCCTAAAAGTGAACTATAAGGAACTCGATAAGCAAATATTTATGGTTCACTGTGGATTATTAGATTTACCATGTTTTGCTTCATGCATATGAAAACATTTGCATAGGGTAATGCCATTTTATGGTAACACTGATTACATCCATCACTTGACAGTTATGTGCATGGTTAGCTTGTATATACTGAAAAATAGCATTCTTAGTATATCTACTCCTCCAATTGCTGAAAGCAGCACAGTTACATCAAGGAATAAGGATATATGTACTTAGCAAATAAAGGTACTGCCTTTTATTGCAGACACATCAAATTATCTAAGTTCTCATACCCCTTGGACCAAATCAGCAACACCAGCTCCCATGTCTGGAAAATATAGTCATAACTTATACAAGTGTCATCAAGTGTATCATGCAGAGGTCCTGCAGCAACTACCATGGAGTTTGCACCAATAATTGCAAGCAAAACCGCAGTTTGCACACAATGCTGTAAATAAGGATCTCCGCTAGCCCGCATCTAAAAAACACCACAGAAACTTCTCAATCCAGAAACCAATATTACAACTCATCGATTTCCCAGCAAAAATTCAGGCGAACAAAATTCAATTACAAATCTAGAAAGAACAACTACCTGGCTATAAGATTTCTCGGCCTCATTGAAAGCCTCGACAACTTTAACTTCGTTAAATATTTTGTGTCTCGATTGAGCATCCAGAAGCAAATCTTTAGCATAAGCTTCTGAGCTTGGTTCCATAAAGCTATCCTCCATACTAAATGGCAGTTCATCTGCCAGAACAGATAAAGAATGAACATCAGGTGAACCACCATCCAGTTGAAAAGTAGGTGAATCATAATACACAAAGGACGCAACTGAATGCCGAACAAATCCATTAAAGAAGCCACTAGTCGCCGCCCGAAAAGAACCCTGAAGGCTGGGAAGACTCAAGTCTCCAGTATTCTTTTTTCGGTAAATTTTCATAGGTGAACTTCTAGACAAACCAACACCGCTGCTACCACATGAACCGGCCCTTGAAACACCGATGCGGGGCTCTGATCTTTCTTCAGGGACGAACTCAAGTTTCCCAAAGACGAGTAAGGAAATGAACTGCTCAGTTCCTCCCCTTTACCGTGCCGCAAAGATCCGAACTCCTCTCCATCATTAGAATAGCTCGTGGAAGAGAAGGCATGCTTTGCGGAAGAAAACAGGCAAGACAGGCCGCCTACCATAGGCTGTTGAGACGGCGAAGTAGTCGATGATGAGGACGATGATCAGCCGTTGATATCGAAATCATACGATGTGTGAAAATGGATCTGGCAAGGGTGAGGTGTCGAGCACACACTGATAGGAGGACTCGCATACAGTGCTATTGTCGGAACCACCACGATAGCCGACACCAATTCCTCTAGCCCTGAACCTTACAATTCGGAACCCAAAATCTGATTTTTTCAGAAATTGAACAGAAAAGTAATTATATTTGAAAATAAAAGGTGATCAACTACAGAGATCAAAAGAAGCGTCAGAAACCCTAGACTCTTTTTTATGTTTAGAAGAAATCATCAATCTGTAAAGCCCCAAACACTGCAGGAAGGGAGAGGCGCGAAGTACATAACAATAAGTGTCAGAATTTGAAATCACACAGTAGAATATGCAAGGTGGAGCTTTGATATGTGACGGTCAAATTGTGAACAGCAGCAGGTCTCTAGAATCTGGGAAAGGAGAATGTACACATCCAAAAAATAATCACACGCCCTTACTCTAGATTTTATAGGGAGAGGGATTAGTTACGCTCTGCAATTTTGTAGACAGAGCTAATGATGTCAAAATGGCCAAGCCCGACGGGCAGGTGGATAGCCAGACGAATGAGCGGCGCTGGCCTGATGAAATACAGACTTGATTATTTTTTATCCGGCTCAGCTCGGCTCAAAAATAGATTAGGGCAGGCCAATCTATGATGGGCCAAGTTCTCTCGTTGTTCTTAATAAATTTAATATAATTTATTTTTAAAATTTTTTTAATATATTTAAATTAAATAAATTACATTAATAATATATTTTTAATATTATTTTTAATAATATATTATTTTATTTTTAATAGAAATTGAAATTTAATAAAAAATATTATTTTATTTATCATGTTTATATTACATTATGTGAATTGAATTATAAATTAAAATAAGAGCAAAAAATATGAGCCCAATTGTATTTATATAAATTTAAACTAAATCTCAACCTATTCTATTTACATCTTTCTATAATTTTTTACTAAATATTATAAAAGTAAAAACAAAATATAGATTATAAAACTTGTAAAGTTTTATATTATCAAAATTCTAATTACAACTTACAAAAATATAGTAGTAACAAATACCCAATCATTCTATTTGTTTTATTTTCTAAATTATTCGAACTACTTAAATTATAAAATTTTATATTATTATAATTTTTTTTTCAAATTAAAAAAAAAATTAGGCTAGCTCACAATCCGTACAGGGCCAAACTAGCCCAAGTTAAATGCTAGCTTAAAGCATTTTCTAGCCAGGGCGGCCCAAAAATCCTCTTGGCTTGCATGGACAAGGCTAGCTCGAATTGATAGCCTTAAGACAAAACCTCAAGCTCTTTCTTCTTCTTCTTTTCTCGGTTCTAATTTTTAGAGAGTGAGAGTAGAATTAAGTTCTATGCACACCAAGAAAAACCAATAGCAACTATGGTAACACCCTCGTGTGCAACTAAAATAATAGTGGGGGGTGCGGGGTTAAGGATCGGCAATGAACATTTATATATATATATATATATCAGAAATTATATATCAAAAATTTTCAACTTCAATTAAGAAGTTACTTGGTAATAAAATAACCTCTATTAAAAGTTGGTTGTTAATAACTAGCTTATATTAAGAGGTCAATTTGAAAAAAATTATTCATGAAATATTGACTACTTTTAGAAATCAATTTGTGTAGAGGGAAGTTAGTTTTACAAGAAACCAATTCCAAGTACAGGCAAAGCACACAAAACCAACTTCTAGTTAGTTGACCACGCACAATGGAGGGAAGAGAGTAGCGGCGAGTAGAAAAGTAAGATCAGTTAACAAGCGAATGAGGCTAGCAAAGAGCAGTGAGGAGCTATAGCGAAAGCTCTGAGAGCTACAACGACTGTTGAACATGGGGTAACTCTACGAGGAGTGATGAGTAGCGTGTGAGCAACAAGTAACGAGCAACATATTAAAAAAGTTATGGCAGAGCTTTGTTCTCACGCTCCTCACCACCCATTGCTCAAGATTGTCATGTTAAAGTTGGTTCACTCAAGATCAACGCATGCGTGCTTGTTGCGTTGCAAACAAAGCTATGTCGGCTCTATTCACAAAGCTCCCCATATTTGATGTAGCTCTATTCTAGAGTTCGTCATTGAACTGAACACCTCCATGTCTGTCTCCTTCCTCCGCCTTTCACCTCTTTCCTCTTCCTTCTTTCTTGCTGGAGGTATTAAACAAACCGAACCAATCTATTTAAACTGATGAAACCGTGGTTTGATTTGGAAATGAATTTTTTTATATAGTTTAGTTTAATATTTGATATTTAGACAAACCGTATAATTCAAACCAAACCGTATAGTTTATATATATACAAAATTAAAAATCTTATCTTTATATATATAGTACATTTTTTATTTGACTGTATATTTCTTATTTTTATTATCTTTTATATTTATATTCATTCTAATAATTGATTATTTTTATTTTATAAAGTAGTATTTCTGTTAATATAATTGAAATTCTGTAAAATGGTATAAATAAATATTTTTGTTATATAATGTATAAGTACTATGATTAATTAATAAATAATAAATTTGTTAAGTTAAACATGTTGATGAAAAAATGGATGACCAATTTTTAGAAAAATCTATCAAAATTTTTATAAAAATAGTAAATTTAATGTATTTTATATTATAAATTACAAATATGATTTGAAACTGAATCAAACTGTAAACCGTAGTTTAATTTGGTTTATAAACCGTAAACTGTAATTTTGATTTGAATTTGAATATCAAATCAAACCAAACCAAACTATAAACACCTCTATTCTCCATGATTGACCTATGACTTCACCATTAGGAAGTTGGTAAAAATTAATTTACCATAAAACCTTCTTAATTAACCAAAATATGCGTAGTTTGATAAAGCTCTCTGCTTTTACATATTTTGGCAATTAAAAAATTATGTTATTGATATAAAAAAATTATTGACAATTGCTGTTAGATTCTATTAGGTTTGTATTTTTTTTCTTTTAAATCCTTGATTTCATGCCATTTCTAATTAAATGGGGTAGTTGATTGGGTCAAAATTTTGAATTTACCACACTTTTGTTATTAAAAAACTAATCTATTACGGTATTATTTAAAAAAAAAATAAATTTTTCTTGTTGTTATACTAGAAACAATTATAAAAATTCATAAAACAAAATTATATCTTTATTATGTCCTTCTCCTTAAGAAAAAATTAAAAAAATCCTAAAATACTTGCTACACAATAAAATCAATAGCCTGAAATTTTCATAAAAGCAACTTAAATTGGGTTTGAAAATTTTCAAAATTTAACCAAACAGTTTTCATGCAAAGTGCCCCATTTTAATTGTATTAGTTTGATTTTATTTTTGTTTTATTTTAATTGTAACTTTTATAAAGTATTTTTGTATTACTTGCTCCCACAAATCAAATAATTGATTCAACAATAATCTTCCTGATTAACTTCAAATTCTCAATTCGATAGAATATTTCTCGATGTATATATGGTTAAGATGCTAAACTCTTAAAATTGCAAATATGGCATTGAAAATTCAGTTGAAATATTATAATATTAAGTTTATTAATTATAAGGTATTGTTATTTTTTAACTTTTAATTTTTTAATAATAACAATTACTAAGTTATAGTGGTCTATTTCAAAATCAAATTAAAAGAAAAAACATAAACCAACTTTTAAATTTGAAAATGTTAAATCATAATCTAAATCAATTATCATGATAAATAGGTTACAACCAGGGTCTAGAGGGTTGGAAGTAAGAGGGGAAGGGACTTAAAAAAGTTAAGCCTATTATATAAATTACTAGCTTGAGCCTACCTTTATAACAGGTAAAAAAAAATTAGTCTTGGCTTAGCTTATTTGTAAAATTAGAAAAATTTAATTTGACTTATTAATCTATTAGGACCTATTTAAAGTACAAAAATGTATATTATATATTTTACATATTATATGTCATATTATATAAATATATAATTCACATAATATATATTATATTTAAAAATATATTTTGTATGTAATTAATTATACATATTATATGTCATATTATATAAATATATAATTCATATAATATATATTATATTTAAAAATATATTTTATATGTAATTAATTATATGGACTAGCATGTCAGGTGCATGAGTCAGCTCAAACATAATTAGACTAAATTTGTATAAATAAAAAGGTTAGTCCTGATTTAATTAAATAAATAAGCTGAGGTAAGTGAACCCAAAATAAGCTAGATTAGGAGTGACTTACTAATGGCCTAACTTATTTCGATGCTTACATCCTAGTTGGGGGGCTTATTGAATAAGACCTTTCTTAAAAGGAAGGGAATGTTATCATAGAAATTACTTCTATTATCTCTATAGTTCAATAGTTTCTTAGTCTCTATTGGCAAGTAAATATTATTTAAATTAGAAAAGGCATCAATTCTTATATATGCGGATTTTTTTTTATCAAATATGGTCTATTAGCAAATCCCAATTAGAAGGAATGGATATTTCCTCCTCCACATTTTAGAGTCCTTTTGAGACTCGAACAAGATCAGAACCTCAACTCCTAATTATAGTTTGTTTTTGTGTTTCTTTTTTTGGGCATTGCCTGCTTGTGTGACCAAAGAAAAAAAGTAGATTTGCCAAAACCTAATTTATTAAAATTTAATTTAGAAAAAGTGAGTCAATTTACCAAAATTCTTAAACTTATTAGATCATATAATAATAGTTAAGGTTTGATTATTAGTGAATTGTGTAATAATTAATGATCAAATTATCTTTATTATCTAACTCAAGTGACTAGCATATTCTTTTTTAATTTTTCCCTCTTTTAGAACGTTAAACAAAGAAATTGTCTAAATATGTACCAAAAATTTGTTAGAAAAATAATTTATTCTATATGTGACATCTCGTTCCACGTTAGTTTCTGAGAGAAATTTGATATGATATATAAAAGATTAGAGACTACTACTGAATAATTTGAACTTAACAAGTTACTAGGGCCAGTGGTTCAGGCTCAACAAGTTATTAGGACCAGTAGTATTGGGTCGTTACAAATGGTATCAAAACAAAACGATCTTCGAACATATTCTGTTTGGATACGAATATGATTTTTGACATGAATTTCTAACTTGACGAGGACGTCAAGTATTTAAGTGGGGAAGATTGTAATATCTTGTTTCACATTAGTTTCTAAGAGAAATTTGATATGATATATAAGAGACTAGAGACTATTACCGAATAACTTAAGCTTAAGCATTTTGGGTCAGTGGTTCAGGCTCAACAAATTATTAGGACCAGTAGTCTCGCGTCGTTACATATAATATACAAAAAAATTTTGTGAAAATATTTGATCATGTAATAGTTCATTTATTTTATAATAAATTAAATCTTATTGCATTTTTAAGAGTATTTGAAATTTTATAATCCAAATATTCACCTCCTACTTTAATCATGTATGTCCACCGACTGTTTTTATCTCTATCAATATTTTCTTAGTAAATGAAATTATTGCATTAAAAAAAAGAATTTTTCTTAGAATTTGAGAAATGCTTGTTCTTTTAGCTAATTTTTTATTTTTCAAAAAAATC